CCTTAGCAGACTTCATCGTGGAATGCACTTTCAGCTCCGAAGTCCTCAGGCCGGTCGAACACGAGGCTCCCAGCTCGGGTGAGCCCGAAGTTCCAAAGCCGGTTGAGCTCGAGCACCGTGAAGTAGCAACTAGTGCAGCATCTCTCCTAGTTAGGCTGAGTGCGAACTGGGATGAGGAGCCCTGAATCCTTCACGTAGATAACTCATCAAACCAGCAGGGCAGCGGAGCTAGAATTGTTCTATACGGCCCAAGCGGAACAAAACTGGAGTACGCATTACGCTTCGAGTTCGCGGCATCCAACAATGAAGCGGAGTACAAGGCGTTAATAGCCGAGCTGGCTCTAGCCAAGGAAGTGAAAGCCAAGCATATCGTCATCTGTAGTGATTCCCAGCTCGTGGTCAATCAAGTCACAGGCGAATACGAAGCTCGCGAACCAACTATGATCGCCTACTTAGCTAAAGTAAGAGAGGCTCTGCTCAACTTCTAGTCACACTTCATCAAGCAAATCCCGATATCGGAGAACGTTGAGGCCGACGCCCTATCCCGGTTAGCTAGCACCGGTGATAATACCATGAGAACCGTGTACATAGAAAAGCTGTCTCGGCCTAGCATTCTCGGGGGGGCAGAGGAGGCCGCTCCTGTCGTGGAAGCATAGCCGAGCTGGATCGATCCACTCGCGAGCTTTCTGTTGCATGGGACCCTCCCTGTGGACCGTAATGCTGCCAAAAGAGTGAAGCATCAGGCGGCCAAATACGTCATAATAGACGGACGGCTGTACCGGAGGTCATACACGCTCCCCTACCTGCGCTACTTGCAACCTTCCGAGGCTGAGCTCGTTCTCTGCGATACTCATGAGGGCTTATGCGGTGGACACTTGGGGGGCAGGGCTCTTGCCCAGAAAGCACTACGACAGGGATACTACTGGCAAACAATGAAAGCAGATGCGATCGAGCTTGTCAAAAAGTGTGACAAGTGTCAGAAGCACGCCAATATCCACCACCAACCTGCCGCCGACCTGAAGTACCTCACCAGCCCGTGGCCTTTCGCATAGTAGGGGATTGATATACTCAGACCATTCCCGTCAGCGACAAGACAAAGAAGGTTTTTAGTGGTGGCAGTTGATTATTTCACTAAGTGGGTAGAAGCTGAACCCCTCGTAACGATCACAGGTCGGAACGTGCAGAACTTCTTCTAGAAAAATATAGTGTGTCGCTTCGGGTTACCTCAAGTACTAATCTCTGACAATGGTAAGC